GTCGTGGCTCTCAAGTTTTCTGTTTGAGAGAAAAACGGCCTAAATCTGCAGGTTTGTGGGAATGAAACAAAACACAACTCCAGGTCTGTTTGTGATGAGGAAACGACATTAGAACATGGATCAGAGAATAGTCTAATATGTGCCCACGTGCTCCCATCTTGTACGTATAAAATCATGACATTGTAGAGTCTGAGAGCACATTACTGGACACCTGTGGAGGTCTGGAGTACACGTGTTAGTAAACCTCTGCTCGTCGAGGCGTCAGCTTCATCTCATTTGTCCCGTTAGCTTTCCTCCTCCTCCTCCTCCTCCTCGGGCCTCGTTTGTGTATGTACAGAACATGTACGTGCTTTGGCTGCGTCTGCACTTCCTCTGCTTACAAACCGCACCAGGAAACGTGTGTGGAGCTGCCATGTTCTCTGCTCTGTTCCACTCATCTCGCTCCGTGCTAATTCTAGTCTGCAGAGCTCGCATATTTTTACCATAACACTGAAGACCAGAGAGGAGAGGAGGCAACAGCCTTTCTGCAACAATTTAGATGACAAGAGAGAGGAGAAGAGAGAAGGAGAGTGAAGGATGGAAGAGTGATGGAGAGCGGGAGCAGACCTGCAAACTCCTCAGAAAAAAAAGGTGAGAGTGTCCAGCAGGCTCCTACAGGCTGACCACAGCAAACGCCAGGATTTCAAAGGTAAATTTTAAAGCAGTAAAAGCACACAGTCTTTCTGGACTTAGGCTTTTTCACACGACACAGAACAGCCCCACAAACACGTTGTCCTGATGGTAAACGTACAAATACAACCAAAGATTCATGCTCTCTGTGTATTTTGACGGGGATACGCGCCTACGACATAGGATAGATCAAAAAATAGGATGGATCCTATTTTCTGAAATCTACGTGCGCAGGACGTGATGCTCCATACACGGATCCAGCGCGCGTATGGAGCCGCCCTCATTCACTTTCCATGCACGTGTCCAAAAGTTTTTGCAGTTTTTACACTCGCATAGGACAAAATACGCATGCAATAGAACCAGGCCCTAAGCATGGGATCAGTGCGGCAGGTAACAGGATGGGGCAAAACATCCAGACAGATGAGTGAAACAAGTTTAGTTGGTTATATGTTGTTCTGAGTGGTCCGTCCTTCGCACATTTGGCTCTTCCTGGGGAAAGTGCTTCTCAGGCTGTGGCACCTAACACCACTCCCCAACCTGAACCAGAGCTGCTCCTGCTGGTTCAGGACTCTGGTCTGCTATTTAGTGCATCACGGCAAATAAAGCCATGATTCTTGAGCAATGACCTGGTGCGTTTATTGAGCCCACACACTCACGGTGAGGTTGCGAACAGGGAGTTAAACCCTGAGCAACGAGCGGCGTTTTGTTACGGACAATTAAGAATGTGAACATGCACGTTGAGCGAATTTTGGAATGAATGAGCTATAGAGTTTGCATTGTTATCGAGGATCTTTAGTTTGTTTGCTATATGATTGTTCTAAAATCTAAAATCAATGAGCAGATGGCGGGCAAGTGCGGTTTTGAAAATTGGTCAAATCCTTGGGTGCAAATGGACAGCGGGCGGATGATGAGTTTTGTGTCACGGTTGCGGATGAAAAAATAGCCCATCCGCGCATCTCTACCCCAAGCATAACGACAAACCAACATGACAGAAAAGCCAGTAGCAGCTGAAGTGTGTGTTTTCTTCTGGTCGATGTAAATCTGTCCAATCAGAACCTTCCCCAACCCCCCAGACGCTGAGCAGAATTAAATAAAGACGATTTAACGTGTTTTCCATGTAAACCTCAATTTGGAATTATTATTTCTATTTAAACTCAAAGGAGAAGAATTTAATTCCAAACTCGAGCACCAAGAAAAAGACGACTGTAGCCGACAAAAAGTGGAGAAAGAGTGGAAGAGGGACAAGGGTCGAGATGGGGCAAGAGAGTGAAAGATAGAGAAAGGATGAGAGACGTTGGAAGAGCTGGGGTAGAGAGTGAAGAGAGAGAAAAGAGGAAGGAGCAAAGGAGCAACAGAAAAAAGAAAGGAGAAGAGAGGGATAGGAAACAGAGGAGGAAGGGTGAGAGACAAAGGGAGATTTTTAAGAGAGAGAGAGAAGAAAAGAGTTGGGGTTAGAGAGAGAGGAAGAGATGGGGCATAGAGAGAGGGAGAGAAGATAGGGGGAGATGACTGAGAGAGAAAAGAAGAGAAATAAAAGGGGTAGGAGAAAGGAAGAGACAGAAAAAAGAAAGGAGAGAGGGATGAGAGGAGTGGAGAGACGAGAGTAGGTAAGAGAAAGGGAGAGAGAGGGAGGAAGGGAGATGGGATAAAGAGAGAGAGAGAGAGATAGAACGAGAGTAAAATTGGAGAAGGAGAGAGGGAGACTGTAGCCGATGTAGTTGAGTTTTGTCATTATTCCCACTCTGCAGCTGGAGTCATCAACATTCTTCCTGAGAATGTGGCGCTAACTGAGGCACTGCTCTGTCTGAAGCTCTGTTACTCTAGAATCAAACTCCTAAACATTTGGACTGATCACAGGCTCCTGAAAATGTGCTCTTTAAAAACAGTTTGTATTTTTGTATTTTGGTTTTCAGTCCACCTTAAAACTTTTGGAGCTGTTGCAAATGTGTGCATTGTGTTGCCATGGTAACCAACATAAACAACATAAACATTCTTCCATACAAATCCAGCTAAAACATCCCCAACATGACGTCACCGCAAACTATAAATCACTGTATTTACTGTATTAAGTTGTAAATCATTCTGAAGGCCCCACATCCTAAACTTGGCCAAATGCGGCCCTCAGACTATTTTATTTTTTATTTTTTTTGGCCCTCAGGCTTCCAGGTGAATTGGCCCAAATGACCTTGCATCAATGAAAAATTTACTTTTTATTGCAAGTTTTTTTTTTTTTTTTTTTTTTTTTCTTTCTTATTTACCTTGATAAAGCTAATATTTAATATTTAGTTTGTGTTTTTTAGGATCTCAGCATGAATAAAGGACTGATGGCTCATTCTAAAGTGTTAAACATGCATACATTTCAGTTATTCACTGTACTGAGCACCAGTCTACGTCCCTCAATCAGCCCTCTGCTTCATCTCTGTTTAGATTTGTGGCCCTTGATGAAAAAAGTTTGGACACCGCTATCCTACACATTTGTGCACATTTGAATCATTTGTGGATCTTCTGCTGTGAACAGAAGATCCAGATGAAAGCACCTGCAGGAGGTCCCACAATCCTACATTTGACTTTTGAACGATGATTCAGAGTGACTCAGAGCGAGCCGCAGACCGCACAGCTCCAGCACACCGCCATAATGCTCTTCCACTTAACGACACTTCTCCAACAGATTCAAGGTTTAAAGGTCCTCCATTACACCCAGCCGACTCGTGAGCTTCAAGTCACGTTAGAATGCAGTTACCTCATCATCTCTTTCATTCACACATGTCTGAGGAATCCTGCATTATTAGTCTGTGTGGATCTCCAAAGCTCCAAATGTTCTGTTCCGCCTCATGATGTCATGAAGTGGTAGTTTTCAAGTGAACAAATAACTTTTATCTTTAGTTTAGTAAAGATACAAGGGCTGAAATGATCCAAATGATTGTAGTGAAGGTGTGTGGAGTTTAAAAACACAGTGGAGCATTTTCCGTACGACATCACAAGTTTGAACAGAGTGGTTTCAGTTTGAGAGAAGAACTAAATGTGCAGGATGGGTGTGTTAAACATGTGAATGAAACAAAACCCAACTACAGGTCTGTTTGTGACGAGGAAACATTAGAACATAGATCAGAAAACATCGTACTACAGGCCCTTTAAACACCTTAGGGATGACATAAGCATGTTGTCACACGCACAATGGGACCCACGTCACACAGAGCACGTTGTTTGTGGGGAAGACGATCTGTCAGAGCCAAAAAGTTCTGTCTTAGTGACCGATGTTGTTGGCGTTAGACATGCTGAAGAGTTGCTGTGTGGTTGGGTGAACAAACAATAAAGCTCAAAAACCTTTACTAAAATTCATTCCCCTAACATATCCACAAAAACATCCTGTCAAAAGAAAATGATGTCTGCAAGCCATATGAAGAAAAGACGGGACGCTGTTACACTGCACCTTAATCCACGAGCAGGTTGCTGACAAATAAATATTAACCTAGTTATTAAAATCTTGATTTAATTATAATATTGTTCATTAGTCTTCAAGAGACAAACAACTACACCAAAAATGAATCAGACCAAAGAAAACAGGAAAATTATTTCTTCCTTGGAGACTCAATGAGATAAGAATAAATGTCCGGGTATAATCACTTGTGGCACTGAGTGTGGTTGTTGCTCTTTGTACATGGAACACTGAAGCAGCATGTTTTCATAGTAACTGAATTAAGCTTTTGTTTGTATCGTTTCAGTCAAAGATCGGCAAAGTGGAGTAGTGGAGTAGTCATATTGATTTGGTGTATTTTCTGTTTTTATCTACATCTAGGAGTTCTGTGTGAATTACCTTTATTGACCCTTATTTGCATTACAGTTAATGAGAGGGGTCGTGTTTTTTCCCTCCAAAAGGGGCAGAACGTCTCTCACCAGTCAAGTTCCCGGATGTGCCAGTCTAACATACACAAGGTTCAAACTCTTTTTCACTGGCAAATTTTCAATACTTTTCTATGACTTTTTCATGACCTACAGTGAATTTGTGTAGAATTGATCAGACTTTTAAGACTAAATATGAAACATTAACTCTTTCCTCTCACCTTATGGTTTGGGATTATAGTTTTTGAACATTCAAAATCCTGTCAGTGCATTTATTGTCGTCTCTTTTAAACCAAAAGGTGCAGATGTTCACAAATAATCAGAATAGACTCATAAGAACTTAACAGAACACTGGAGCTGTGTAAGAGATACTAATTTCCATGACTTTTCCAGGCCTTGAAAATGACATTTTCAATTTCCATGACTTTTCCAGGATTTCCATGACCGTGGGAACCCTGGTTAGAGATATTTCCAGGTTAAACAGGAGTTACCTTGATCATGCGGGAGAGGTCTCCTGCGTCCGCCAGCTCCAACACGATGTTCAGTTCATTGTCTTCGATAAACGACGCGTGGTACTTGATCACGTTGGGGTGGTTCAGTTGCTGCAGAGAAAAGACAAGAAAAAACTTTATTAATACACACAAAAAAAAAATATATATATATATTAGTTTTAGTTTATATATATTTAGTTTTACAGTTTTCCAGACTTTTTTGGCAATGAAAACACATGTAAATAGATAAAATGATGATAGAAACCCATTCACACACACACTCATACTCCAGTGTACGCAGATGTTGGGGGTGAGGTGGGTTAAGTGTCTTGCCCAAGGACACAATGACAGCATTCATCTGTAGGAGCTGGAATCACACCACCAAGCTTCAGATCAGAGGAGAAACACACGACAAACTCAGCTACTGTCACCAGTTATACTTCACAAAATTGAAATAAATTTTAATATAATCACAAAATATCAGATTATTTCTTCTTCAAAACCATTTAAGATTAAGATCCACTGAGTGTTAAAGACAGAGAGAGACAGGACGGTTACTGAGGAGAGAGAAGGGGGATAAGGGAGATAGAGAGGAGAAAGAGGAAGAAAAGAGAAATAGAAGTGAGGAAGAAGAAAGAGAAGAGGGAAAGAGGGAAAAGACAATGAGAGGAGAAAAGGTGAGATAGAGACCGTAGGGAGACAGAGAAAGAGAGGAAGGAGGAGTGGAGAAAGGAGAAACAGAAGAATAAAAAGAAAGTGAGAGATAGAGGAGAGTGAAATGAAGACATACACCGAGAGAAGAGCGAGAGCAGCACACGGATGGTAAAATCAAAAAGAATAAAATGTTAAACTAATGGTGGAGGTTTTCTGGTCGATGCAGTAGAGGAAAGGTCAGGGTCACAGAACTCCACGATCACCATGGAGAAGAAGAACAAGACCAGATGCACTGTGTAACTTTTCTAGTGGAGGGTCCGTCAAATGTTTTTCTTCATGGAGATGTTATTTCTTTGTCTGGAATGTTTCACAGTATGGCATTAAACATTTCTACCTTCATGGAGACCAACACCAAAATGACAAGCGTGACAGCTGCAGTTACAGCAAGGGCGGCAACATTTTTTCAATAGAAAGTGAACTGGAGCCAGAGTCGGTGGAACTTGAATCGCGCCCACACTCACTTCCTATTTGGAACGCGGCAACTACGGGAAGAGATATCAACTTATTAAAGGCATATCATGTAACTTTCCTAGTGAAGGACCTGTCAAATGTGCTCGTTTTCTCCATGGAGATGTTATTGCTTTGTCTGCAATGTTCCACAGTATGGCATTAAACCTTTCTATCTTCCTGGAGACCAAACTAGATCAAGTTACAGGTCAGATCTGTGGAGAGGCGACCAGAATGTCTGTTTTTCTACTTGTTTTGAGCTGTAAAGTCACCTGTAATAGGAGGGTTTCAGTCACGTGATCACAATGATGCGCGAATTTCAGGTGGAGGGCAGGAAGTGAAGACAAACACGACAAACAAAAACGGCTCTGGAGAACACAGATATGGAGAAGAGTTCTTATTGTAAGGATTTAGAGCCAGTAGCAAGGCAAAAGTACGAGCAGTTAGTCGACAAATATATTGGACGTGACCCTGATCTTATTAAAAATGAGAGAGTTTTCAACCGAAGTAAAAGATTTGCCGACAATTGATGCAGAGGAGATCACAAACTATTTAGCTCTTCAGACATCGTTCTACACCACACAACAGATGAAGGCGTATAAAAGTTTGGAGGCATATCACTTTTTTTATCAGTGGATGGGTCCTCAACCTTGGTGCAAAACGCCTAAATGATGATTATGGTTTGGTCTTCGCCGGGGTGAGTGTTTCTCTTATTTTATGTGTATAGACGTTATGGGAAAAACTGCAGTGTATCGGCAGTGACCTCTATCTGAACTATTTAATGTCAACAAACGTCGTTCGCCGTTAGTTGTTAATGATTCGTTTATGTTTAGGTAAACCACAAAAAACAATTTATCTTTGTAACAAACCTTTGTTGAAGTGTTCACTGCAGACACGAGCATTAACGAATTCTGCTCCTCCCGACCACAAACAGGTTTGTAATCCACTTTTTACGGTGTTGTTCTGTCAGCTTTTCCCATTTCTGACCTTTGTGGACGACTATATTCAGTACTCTAAAAAAATAGCTTTTTCTTCTCTTGGTTAGAACGATTGGCACAGCCGTAAACTACACAACACATCGGCATTTTCCTCCAGTCAGTTCACTTCCTGCCCTCCATCTGATTTTGCGTGCTGACAAACGTAGCCCTGTGACGTCACGTGAAACCCACATATTGAATAAAAGTAAAGTAGAGATGTTTAATTAATGTCACACTGTGGAACATTCCAGGCAGAGCGATGACGTATCCATAGAAACGAGCAGGTGACGGACCCCCAACCAGAAAAGTTCCACAGTGCACGTGTGAGTGCTGTTTCTCTCAGGTGTGTGTTTTGGCGAGCGTGTGTGTGGTGTCGTGTGAAGAGTGTGAGTGGCGCGGCTCTGGTTGTGCCCGTGTACGTGCCAAAGCCTGGTGCCATGTCACAACACAAGAGTGTGATGATGGCAGCTCGTGTGTGACAAACAAACGTGAACAAGAGAGGGGCTGACAGCTGGCACCGGCGCCGCACTCGCACACTACACACACTACACACACACACTACACACACACACACACTACACTACACACACACACACAGACTATACACCAAGAACACAAAAACACACACAAGAGATCAACACTACACACACAGATACACACATAAGCTATACACCGAGAACACAAAACCACACTGCCACACTACACACAGACTATACACACACACACAAGCACATACACACACACACACACACACACACACACAAAACTACACTACATACACAAGAAGAATCATACACACATGTGAAGAAGAGACAGAGGCTGGTCAAACGCACAAATGAAAGATGCATTGTGTAACTTTTTGTTTGGGCATCTGTCACCTGCTTGTTTCTATGGAGATGTCACTGCGCTGCTGGAATGTTCCACAGTGTGACATTAAACAGTTCTACTTTACATTTACTCAATGCAGGTGGTTTTATAGGTCAAAAATGCCTAGAAAAACAGACATTCTGTCTGTGAGCAGGGTCGCCTCTCCACAGATCTGACCTGTAACTTGGTCTGGTAACTTGGTCCTTCACCAGAAAAGTTACAAAATGCATCTTTAACATACATGGCAGCCTGCTATGGCTTTTAAAAGCTGAATAACAGCTATCAGGGAAATCATCTGGAGAGTCCCCCTGAAGTGTACCCTTTATGACACTAACTTAGTTCATCTATATACATATTCAAATAATAATAATAATAAAAATCATTGTCTATATTGTATTAATGACACACACAAGTTGCAGTATATCTCCACACATTTGTTCATGTTGAGCATAAGTCAGTATTCTGATTTGGGAAGGAAGAGCACGCTGCTTTTATCCCCTGTTGCAAGACATGACTCCTGGTAGGGGTGGGTGATATCTAAATGTTTTCAAATATATAGAGATATTTTTTAAACTCGATTTGGATTCTGACATATCGTATATATAGATATAACGTTTATATTCAATTCTGATTTTGCCAGTTCGCTTGTTTATCTTCTCTGTGTGTGCCCCCGCCTCCCTGATTTTGTTGCTTGTGTCTCATTCACTCCTCACTATCGCCGTTAAGGCCCAAAGTTGGAAAAACTTCTAGCACCACGAAACTGTTCCAACATTTACAGACAAAACCATCAGCAGCACATCCTGTGTCACAGAGAGAACACTCATATGAACACTGAGTCGTGTCCTTTAGTCCGAAAGAAGCTGAAGCATGTGAGCGGCACAAGGAGCAAGATGTTTATGCAAATGAGTCATGTGGTTTAAGTTTAATTTGTGTAAAACGTAAACACATGTGAGCAAAACTGAATTAAACACATTATAATGTCACATGGGCTGATGTGGCTCTAGACTCGTTATGCTTTATATGTTGTAAAGTTTAGTGATGTAAATTTTATTTATGCAGAAGATTTGAATCACTCTGCTGCAGTGTCACTTGTACAATAGTGTTTGGAAACGTTGGGTTTGATCTGCAGTGGATTGTGGGAAACCTCACAGCTCCTTACACTGGTGAGGAACATGGATCTGTTAAAATAATGAACCTCCTGATCTTCCTCTGCTAAAGGAGCTCATGGTTATTGTATGAGTAACAGAGTTAATGCAAAGATGAGCTTGAGTTGAGTTGTTTTATTTATGAATGAAAAGAAGGAAATATGTTTTATTTCTTTTATTTTACAGTTAAATTATTATTTATGTAATCTTAAATGTGGCAGAAGCATTTTGTTCCTACATGAACTGCTGACCTCTTGCACTTCAGTTATAAAAGACATTGTGGAATTTGGCAGATTTGCCTGTGCAGTAGTTTTTGGGGGGTTATTTTTCCTGTACACATATCGAGATATATATCACATATCGAGATATAGCAAGATATATTGAGATATATTTTTTGCTCCATATCGCCCAGCCCTAACTCCTGACATGAGTTGATTAAGTTCATGACAGGTAAAGAAATAATTCATATTTCTTCCCAAATCAGCAGTTACTGATGCTGTAGGACACAGGTGTCAAACATAAGGCACGGGGGCCGGATCCGGCCCTCCAAGACCTTTAATCTGGCCCTCGGCTGATTTTCTACTAAAATATTTGAATTATATTTTCTATTAAAATATTGTTAATTTTCTGTTCCGCTTAGCATAGCAGTGTCTCCAGTGTCTCTGTACGTGGCCCCTCCCACCAGAGCAGCACAAATGAAGACTTGTCTCTTTCCAAACGCTCTTAAAGGACGATCGTTTTGACTGTTGACCGTGACACCCTCATCAGAAAAATGTCCAACATGAGAAAAGTGGAGCCGAGTGCAGGATTTTACAACAAAAATTGACTTATTCCTATTTACATAGAAGTTCATGTTAAAACATTGTGTTGAAATAGCATTTTTTTTTCATAATATTATAATATTTTGTAAAAGAAAGAGTTCATCAATTAAAAAAAGACTTTTGTAATAGATTTGCATTTC